GGCCGTGGTCGAGCAGCAGCCAGGGTCGACCACGGGGATGTCGCCAGCAGGCGGTCCCGCACCGAAACTCGTGGCGAGGTCCGGCGGAAGGGTATGGAGACCAGCGTGGTCGGCAAGTGCGTAACGTTTGTCGGCCACGAAGCCGGGCGAGATCCAGCTAGGCACGATCATGGTCGTTTCGTAACACAGGTACTCCTGCTGGAGCGCAAGCTGAATCAGGTGCGCAATGTCGCCCAGTCGTAACCGCTGCAGCGATAGCGGTCCGTGTTTCTTCAGTGCCTTGGCCAGCACGTAACGAGTATGCGAAAACAACCAACCGCCTGGCCGGTCCAGCAAAAAGTCCAGGAAGTCCACCCACAGCTGGGGGGGGTGGTGGTTGCGCGGCGACTTTAGGTCCACCCAACCCCGAAACCACTTCGGCTGCTGACGAAAGTACACGCAGTGGATCTGGTCCGTCGCCTGCGCCACCTCGTACCACTGCGGCGTCGCTGCGTAGTAGGCAATCGCGTGCTGCACCAACGCGTCGCTCGCATTGTGCTCCCGCAACTTGAACAAGATCTCCGCCTTCGAAGGCTCCACGCCCTCCTCGTACAACAACAAGATCATCAAGTACAACAGGAACGCGTCCTGCTCCGTCAACGACGGCACTCCTTCAGCCACCAGCTGGTCGTTCACCTGCGCCCGGATCTCCAGCCACCCCACCATTATAAAAAATTACGCTGCTTCAGCGTCATGAACTGGTCAGACTCGTCCAGACTGGAGTGAGAGACACCCAGCGACTCGCCGCTGGCTAACTCACTACTAACTCACCGTTCGATCGCATATGCTCTTGAACACACTATTCGGCAAGACACTCTTTGGTGTTCCGTCAGCTTCGTTCTCTCTTTTTTTTGTCTCTCTTCCTTCGTTTTCTCCTCCTTCGTTCTCTCCTTCCGTCATTATCTCCTTTTCACATTCTCTCTTGCTTGTTCTCCTTCCTCGTCCTCTTCCTTATATCAGTGCGTTCAATCTCCTGCCATCAGGAACACAAGTGCGCCTTGACTGCATAGAACAGGCCCTCGCTGAGCAGGTTCGAGCTAGACTGCACAACCAGCAACACGCGGCCCTGCGCCCGTGCCGGAGTCTGCACAGTCAAAATCGCCACCGACTTGTCGACACTGTTTTCTAGCACCGCCTCGGTTGCGAACACCAGCTTCGCCGTCTCGTTCTCCGCCACAGGCAGGTACTCGAAGATCCCCGCCGACAACATCTTCTCCTTCAACTTGGCTAGAGGATACTTCCGCGGCGGCTGATCGGCCGCGAACATGCCTGAAACTGCGCCACGAATTAACTCTGGTGATTTCGTCTCGTTGGGTGACTCCGGCTTTCCCGTCGTGTTGGGTCGGTCACGGGAGTGTCCTTTCACGGTCGCTCCGAGTTGGGCAGCGATTCATGAGCTGTGGCTGTTAATTCTCCTTAATTCGACGTTCCAATCATTATCGCGCACACGTGTGTGCACCGCGATTTCAGCGCCCTCCAGCCGGTCGGTACGGAATGCCAAGGGCCAGGAAGTGCCGGGGTGCCTTACCTTCGTTTAAGGTGTACTTGATGTCGGTTGTGAGCTGCTTGTACTCCTTCACCGTGATGTTGGCGGGCCGACAGAACCTCGCAATGGTAATCGGCAGAGGCACGGTAATGGTCTTGGGTTGACAATGCGGCATCATCAGGGATACGGTGAGCATTGGCGCGCCAGCAAAAAAGGCGTGGCACGTGAGTGTAACATTCTGCAGGAAGAAGCAGGTGTTATGTAGGTAGGTTAGGTAGGTATGGTGTGGTCAGCTTGTGTGGTCAGCTTGTGTGGGCAGCTTGATTGTGGGTACGGTGAATGGTGGGCCGGTGGAGTACCTTGGCGACCTGTTGAGAGGGAAGAATGGTGGTGGGGAAGTCTTCGTGGACGATGGTCAGAGCTCTTGGGGCGGTGAACTGGACGTTGATGTCGTCTAAGCATCCCGTGTTCAGATTCCCGAGGTAGAGTCGCGTGATGAGGTGGCTTCCGTCGGATCTGATCTTGCAGCCGATTTCGAGCGACCCCTGTTGTTCAAAAATGAGTCCGGAGTCTGCGAAGAACAGGTGTCTGCGGATGTCGCCAGTTCTGCCAGGCTCTCCGGTATCTGCCGTTACAAGGTCGCTGAGAATTCCGTCGTCGGGAGGGCAACGCCGAAGTGCGTCCTGCAAATTCCGAATGACGACGTCTTTACGGAAGAGGTCCGTCTCCATTTCCCGCAACTGCTCCGCCAACTTCTGCGCGCGATTGTTTTCCATCGCCCACAGCCGCCGGAGCTGCTCCACGCCTTCCGAGTCCCGCAGCTTCTCTCGTTGGACGTGAACAATGGTTTCTAAGTCTTGAATTCGCTGGTGCAGTCGCGCTATCTCGTCATTCCCGATCTGCGGACTGATTACACTCGCAGTGCTGCTGCTGTGGCTCGCGTTGCGCTTCCGCCCTTCAACCGGGTCCACTAGTGAACGCCGCGGATCCGACGACATCCGCGCAATCTCCCGGTGACCCATCTCTCTCGGACCGAGCTCCCGTGGACCTCCGCTGGGCGACAACATGGCCCGCTCAACCAGCACGCTCCTCTCTATCCGCTCACCACCCAATCGTTCACTTAACCGTTCGCCACTCAAGTCCCGCACACCGCTCAAGTCGCGCACACCGCTCAAGTCGCGCACACCGCTCAAGTCGCGCACACCGCTCAAGTCGCGCACACCGCTCAAGTCGCGCACACCACTCAAGTCGCGCACACCACTCAAGTCGCGCACACCACTCAAGTCGCGCATCATACTCGCAGTTCGCGGAGGAGAGTCCGGTCCGAAAACGTGTGGTCGGTCAACCTTCCGCAACGCATCTGGTTCGCTGCTACCTTGTTCTACGGCTCTGCCTCCTTCTGGCCGAAAACCGGGCGTCTCCGCACGGTCTTGGAGTGCGCCGTCCTCATCCTCGACACCAAGCAATATAATCGGGTCCGTCCTAAAACTAACATCAGGACGGACCCCAGTCGCCCCTTCTGGTCGAGCTATGCCGCGCGAGCGCAGTATCGACTCTGCCCGTAACCCGTCTGGCCGTAACCCGTCTGGCCGTAACCCGTCTGGCCGTAACCCGTCTGGTCGTAACCCTTCTCCTCGTAATCCTTCTGGCCGTAATCCTTCACCTCGTAATCCTTCTGGTCGCAAAACCTCAGACCTGATGACCGAAGGATCTGGACGAAGCACGGCCTCGTGTCGAAAGGGATCGGCCTGTGTTCGGACGCTATTGGCACCAGTGGCACTGCCCATACATGGGTTGTCCCGGAGAGTCTCGGGGAAAGGTTGATCCCTTCGGAGATGTCGCAGAAAAAGCGGATCCGGAGAGCTCCGAAAACCATTCGGTTCATGCCTTAATGGAAGGGAGTGATGTCTGTCTGGCGAACCCCGAAGAGACCTAGTATCCCGTCTGGATTCTTGTCTCGTCTCCTGTCTCGATTCCTGTCTAACGTCTTGCCTAGTCTCCTGCCTGGAATCCTGTCTGGATTCTTGCCTCGACTCTTGCCTTGACTCTTGCCTCGACTCTTGCCTGGCGTACTCCTGGCCGGCATGGCTCCCGCCGCCGCGACTACCTGTGCTGCCTCCGCGGGAGTCTTGTCTTCGGCTATTTCTCGCCAAGGGTGAGTCGGCATCTACGCTGTCATCCAGTCGTTTTCGGCCACCTTCGCTGTCCGTCTGGCACTTGGCCCAGTTTTCGTGGGCGTCTAGGAGCAGGTGTATGTCGTCGACGACTCGACTAATACTGGAGAACTCGGAAATTCGGCGGTCGTCGACTGCCTTAGCCGCGTCCTTTTGAAGCAGGACTAAGAGGGACTGCAACTTGACTCGCAGCGGTCCATCTGCTTCCAGCACGTTTCTGTTCGAAGAATCCTTCTCGTTCTCCGTACGACTCGCACGGCCATCCTGACCCGGCCGTCCATCCTGACGCTCACCCATCAGCAATTGTAACTGAGACCCCGCCTTGCGAGCTTCTTCCAGCCGGCCCGAAACTGTTGTGGGCAGTGGAGAATAACGACCTTTTAGGCTCCACTCCACACCGGAAAGTGCTTCGGGAGAGGGAGCTGTCGGTGGCCCTTTCTTGAACCGCTTCGTAAGACTCTTCAGCTTGTGCGACATCCCGTAAACTTCCTCGTGAACCAACTGAGCACCGCTCGAGTCCTCCTCCGAGTCATAAGACCCCTTTGTAAACACCGGGGTACCCGCCTCACTAGAAACGAGCCGAGGATAAATAAAACCGCGCGTTTACACACGCGCGCTTTCGCGCACGCATTTGCGCACGATGTGATGACGACGACGATGGCTAACACCAGCCCCGACGACGGCCATCGTGGGGCGCACAACGACTACAGGGGGGGTACAAGCACTAGGAACACGTACTTGGCACACGCGCTAGGTACAACCGCCAGGGTACAGTCACTGGACATGGGTCACAAACATGAGGTGGGGTACGAGGGAGCTTACCAAGTCTCATTATGGTAGTCCAAACATTCGGCATGTTCCAAAAACGCGGCTGCACTAGCCCTATACTGTCTCCATCTCCACTCTGCACAGTCCGACGGCTTCAGGGATCGATCGCCACGCGCTACGGGAACTGGTGTTGGCATAAGGCGGTATATCTCACCTACTGCCTGAATATAGTGGGAGAGGTCGGCCGACCGAAGTACCTCATTTAATAGTCTAGAGCCGGCGCCGGCCGTGCACCCCTAAAAGGCGAGCGAGTCAGCTAGTAGACAGCTAGCTGGATTATTAGCTTTGCATTTGTGTTCCGCTTCGTACCTCTAGGATGTGCATCTTGTCGGCAATATCAACATTGGGCTGTAGCAATGGGTGGATCATAATATAAAAGGTTTTTGCTTAAGGTCTGACCAGCCAGATCTCTCCCCTTATTCGTTAGATCTCCCCCACCCCTTAAAGTGTCAGTCTCACCCCGGCCCTCTCAGCTGCCTACCCAGTTCCAGCCGTCGACTTAGCCCAGTCTCGTTTGAGTCGTAAATTTGGAAAAATGGAGGGTTTCCGGTTTGCGTTTGACCAGTTGTTGCTGCACGTGTATGTGGACCGTGTGCGGGAGTTACTGAACGTGCAGTTCAAGTCTGAAGCGCAGAGTCGAGTGTTACGAATTGACTTGGCGGCGGTGAAGAGTGGTACGTGGGTGCGGGTGGAGGACAGTGAGCGGCGTCGGTACTGCGAGGAATTGTACGGTCAGATGGTTTCGCGACCGTTGACGTATTTGCCGGTGATGGAGTACGCGGTGAAAGAGGTGTTGGTATTACAGGAGTTGGCGCTGCAGAGTCTGCCTCCGGCGGCGGGTGAGGCGTACAGTCACTGGCAAGAGCCACGCGAGACGACGGATTTGGTGAACGCTTCAACAGTTTTGAATCACATTCCGCAGGCGGCCGCGCTGCGATTAGAAACGTTTGGGGTGTTTGTTGAACTGGATGGCGTTCCGACCGTTACACCTCTGCGAAAGTTCTCCGTAACACTCATGGACCACGTTGTGTGTACATCGGGCATCGTCATCCAGGCCAGCCGGCCTTGCCTGAAGGCGACGGCCGTAACTGTGCACTGTAAGGACTGCGGACACACTAAGGTCGTTAAGATCCCGATGTGGCGTGCCGCAGCCAGTCTTCCGCGTCAGTGCGAAGGCGGCGTAGCCGTCGCCGCCGCCGCGGGTGAGCGTACGTGTTCGTTGGACCCGTACGTGGTGGACAGCGAAAGTTGTCAGTACGTGGATGTGCAGAAGGTGAAGTTGCAGGAGCTACCGGACGACGTGCCGACGGGTGAGATGCCGAAGCATGTGAACGTGAACGTGTGCGGGCCGTTGGTAGGCCGTGCGACGCCAGGGCATCGAGTGCTGCTGACAGGTGTGTACACGAGTGTGGATCGACCGGGGAAGAAGGACGGTCGGGAGGCGGTGAGTGTAACTTACGTGCACGCGTTGGGGTTGACGAAGTTGGCGTTGGGGAGTTGCCGAGGTGGGGAATATTTGCCAGCAGGGATTGGATTCAGTTGCAGCGACACGGACGAGTTTTATCGATTGGCTCAGGACCCGCAGATTGTGCAGAAGATTGTGGCATCAATTGCACCAGGTATCCACGGCTTGGAGGACATCAAGTTATCGGTGGCATGCATGTTGTTTGGCGGCAGTCGTAAGCCGCTGCCGGATGGAGGTAGTATTCGTGGTGACATTCACGTGTTATTGTTAGGCGACCCATCAACGGCGAAGAGCCAGTTATTAAAGTACGTTAGCCAGGTGGCGCCAGTGAGCGTTTATACGTCGGGCAAAGGCAGTTCGGCGGCCGGACTCACAGCTGCGCTTGTGCGTGATTCGCACGGGAACTTCGCTCTCGAAGGAGGCGCCATGGTCCTTGCGGACGGTGGCGTCGTTTGCATCGATGAGTTCGACAAAATGCGGGACGAAGATCGCGTCGCCATCCATGAAGCCATGGAACAACAGACCATCAGCATCGCTAAGGCAGGAATTACGTGCATGCTGGCTACCGAATGTTCCGTGCTAGCGGCTGCAAACCCCACGTTCGGTACCTATGATGATTCTAAGGATGCCTCCGATCAACATAATTTCGAGACCACCATTCTTAGCCGCTTCGATGCCATCTGGCTGGTGCGCGACCAACGCGATGAAAACCTCGATCGCCGCATCGCACAACATGTCTTCCGTCTGCACGCTAACCACGATGGCCAAACCGGACACACAGGGGCAGGGAGAGATGGACATGTACCCATACCCACCCTGCTGTTACGAAAGTACTTGTCATACTGCCGCACCAAGTGCTACCCTGCACTCTCACCCACTGCCGCGAAAATGCTCGAAAACTTTTACGTTGAAGTCCGCGCCGACGCCAAACGCTCTACCAAAACCAGATCCCAGATACCCATCACCGTCCGCCAACTTGAATCTATTGTCCGACTCTCCGAAGCATTCGCTAAAATGGCACTCAGTCCACACGTCGAAGAACGACACGTCGCAGAAGCTATCCGTCTTTTCAAAATGAGCACTGTCGCCACCAACTCCGCCTCCGTCGCTAACGCCTATCAGGCACTCGGTCCTGAATCCGTCGCACCACAAGACATCAAAAACTGCGAACGAGCACTCCTACAAAGACTGCCCCTCAACAGCAGATGCACCTCCAACGTTATCGTCACCGACCTCAAACTTCGCGGATTCTCAAACCAAGTCATAGGCAAAACACTAAGCGTACTCATACAAAAACAAGTACTGGAAGAACGCGCAGACGGACACATGAAACGTATCGCCGTTGGCAACCTCTGACCCGTGCAGATGGACATGATGGAATTGCGGCCAGAACGGAGGGGACATGATGGAATTGCGGCCAGAATGGAGGGGCCGAAACAGAATGCGGCTTGACAGAATGCGGCTTGTCCGGCACGACTACCGGGTTTGCATTCAAACAGTTCTTAGCTAGCTAGCTAGATATAAAGTGACTTGAACGAGTTTGTGACCTGAATGACTTTGTGGCCGATGTGACTGGGGGGATGACTTCGTTTACCGACGACTTCGTTTACGGACGAGACTACTTGGGAGTGTGCCGAGACGGTGTCTTACCGGAGAAGGTCTCCGCAGTCGGGCGTCCCCGCAGTGGTGGGATTGGTATGGGGCCGGGGGGAGTGGGTATATTTTTGGTTAGTAAAATGAAGCCGGAGGGAGTGCTGACTGGCTTGGCTAAGTTACGTCAGGCGGTGACTGGAGGGAAGGCGAGGGCGATATCTGGGGCAGTGGAGGAGCTGGGTATAGAAGGCGCGCCAAGTTTTGCGGCCTGTTCCGTGGACGAGAAGACGAACCTGCGGGACTTGGACTACTTGGTGAAATGTGCCGATGTGGTTCTGCTGGCACTCGGCAAGACGCTGGAGGCCCTGGACCTGCAGGCCTACTGCAAGAACGAGGAGGAGAGCGAGGAGGAGAGCGAGGAGGAGGGCGGCAGTGAAGATGAAGTGTCGCGAAAAAGACGGGCTGATGATGATAGTGTTAGCGTGTTGGTGTCCACTATCGCCAGCCAGTTTGCCTCCATTGTTGTGGCCATAAAAATGACCGGAGATTTTCTTAAGAATCCCGACCAAGTCGAAACCGAAGGTGAGGCCACCGAGAAGAAAAAAGCTTTAGTGGAATTGCTGATGAGCTGTCAAGTGGACCTACCTTTCGTGAACAGGGACAACGTTGCGCTGCACACAGAAGCGTGGGTGGACACCTGCAAGAAACTAAGACACAATCTGAAACCCCTAATCTCCATGATCGAGCTGATTAGAGAAAAGGTGCTGGTTTGTCTAGATCTGGGCGCCCGGGAGCTGGAACCTTTCTGGTCTATTGTCCTTAACACGAACGAGGAGCCAAGCGAGGCGAGTGAGGGTGAGGCGAGTGAGGGTGAGGCGAGTGAGGGTGAGGCGAGTGAGGGTGAGGCTAGCGATCTGAAGTCGACGAGTGACGAGAGCGAGGAGACTGACACTGACAGTAACGACGGCAGTGACATTGGTAGCGAGCTTGGTAGCGAGGACGCGTTGCTGAGCAACGACGAGATTTCGTCTGATGAGGTGATTGGCGCAGATGAGGACGAGAAGTTGTTGAGTATTCTGTCGATGACGGAGGAAGAAGAGAAGATGATTGTGGCGAAGCGGCGGCGTCTGGAGGAGTTGAAGAAGTTGCAGCGTGTGGAGTTTACGGAGGAGGAACTGGCGGAGATGTTTGCCGCACGGCTCAGGGCAGCGAAGACGATCGAGGCGGTGCTGAAGAAGACGGATCAGCAGCTGAAAAAGGGCGCTGAAAAATTTAACTTTGTGGCGACACTGGAGCTATTCCAAGCAGTGGTATTGCCGACCATCGGTTTGTTTGCGGAGATTATAAATCACATTGGCACTCACCCCACCTGGGAAAACAGACTGAAGGAGCTGTTGACTGCCAGCATACATCTGGCCAAGAAGATATTGGATTGCATCGTCTCCCAAGTGCAGCTCGAGAAGCCGGCGAAAAAAGCAGCCAAGAAAAAGATGGATGGTGCGAACAAAGACAAGGAGGAGGATCCGTTACAGGTGAAGGCGGAGAAAGTTGCTTTCGTACTCTATGCCATAGCGGCTGAGCAGCTCGTGATCTTCTTCCGGGAACGGTCCCGTTTGCCTGGTGATACGTATTGGGCCCAATTTGTCGCAGTGCTCCAGATCGTTGGCGCGTTCTGCGACTGGTCGTGGACGGCGCGAGTTAAGTTGGCTGACGCGGCCCATTACCTGCTGAGCTTGTCGGGCCAGAAGGACGGTTCGTACGAAGACCCGGAGTTCAGGATTTGGCGTACCACGCTCCTCAAATGCGTCTGCGTACATCCTCCCAAGTTTGCCTGCCGACACTGCGTCGGTAAAAAGGATAGCGGCGCCTGTCTACACGCCAAATCCGCCACCGAGGCACTTTGCGTCAAAATCCTCGCCGAAGGCACCCTCAGCCACCGCACCTCCCCCCTCAACTGCCTCAAAGCATTAAAAGCCCTGCAAATACAACTGCCTCCCATCTTCTACGCACACTGCCTCAAAACTTGCGCCAAAAAACGAGAGGTCTGTAAAGCAATTGCACACCTCATCAAGTAAACCAACATTTGCTGGCCATTGCTTCCTCTTAACTGCGCGCGCACCTCAACCTATTCCCACCATGCATGACTCGTCATGTATGACTCGTCATGTATGATTCGTCATGCGTAATCCACGAATGTTAGTATCATTCCGTGGTCGTTGTCACTCCCAAGCGGCCACGTTTTTTAGACCAAACTAGCTCTTACGCGCTTCCTCGACCGTATGCGCGCTTCCTCGACCGTATGCCAAAAATGACTAGACAGATAGTAAGACCTATTGTGGTGCTATTACATCATGTCTTGGTCCTCTTCTTCTTTTCGACGCATAAGAATTTGTTGAATTTTTTCATGTCGTTTCCGGACGGCGTCGGGCATTTGAATTCCAAGTTGCACAGCTTCGTTATATATCGATTCGAAAGTTTCGTTGTTCAGCGACTTGGCATCCATGAGTCTGCTGAGTAGATTGATTCCTTTGTTTTGTTCTGCCGTCAGGACAACTGGCGTCTGGAGGCACTTTGTGAGTCTCTTGAGTCGCGCCTTTTCTTCCATTTTAGCATGTGCGCGAAGCGACCTTTTCGTCAGTTGCTTTTTCACCTTCTCCAGCGCAGGAGGCTTGGCCGCCTTCTTTGAGCGCCGCATCGGCATCACCAGAGCGTTGCTGCCCTCAACCATACCCTGCTGCGTGTACACACTACTCATGTCACCCAACAACGACGTGTCCAACAGAGCCATGGAACTGTCCGCCGCCATGGTACTGTCCGCCACCAACCTGTCCGTCGTGGCTTGACTTCTTGCTGCACGACTTCTTGCCATACTGCCAGACTCTGCGGGCTTTAAAAAAATCTCCGCCACGGGTCGACTGGGTTTGCACCTTTTAGATCCGCCACCTATGCAAGTTCCAAATGTATATTTGACTCCATACCCAACTCCGACGCTCAAACCCATTCCACAACCCACCACCGGACCAGATCAGCGAATGCCAACAGAAGCAGCATCTTAACCGTCCTTATGGAGGTACCCGGCGACCAGAGGGTGCTGTGTTCTGTGACTCGGACGTGGATGACCCGGACTACTGGCCGCGTCACTGGTGAGTTCGATTTTCGGCGGGAAGCGCAGCAGAGATGCGAACGCCAGTGAGTGTGGATGGGTTGAGATGTCTGGCATGTCGAGGGACTGAGTGGGTATAGGAACGAGTCCGACGTGGAGAAAACTTTTTTGAGACGTACGACGAGTACCGGACGACCACGACGAGGAGGTGCCGATCACTCGGGTTTGTGACAGCTTGTTCCAGTGGGGTTAGTAGCCCTTTTTGTGTGCGGGGTGTGCACAGAGGCCGGGGCGTGTCAGACCTCCCCAGCGCGGGGGTGCATTCCAGAAACAGACGGCGCCGCCAACATTGCCCCTGACGGCGGTGGTGAGGAGGGTGCCCTCTTTGCTCCATGTCACGGCAGTGACTTCCTGAGCGACCCAGTCGTCTGTGGGGTGGGCGGTTTGCGTGAGTAGCGAGCCGTTGCGCCAGAAAGAGAGTGTGCCCGCTGAGTCGCCGACGACGAACATACTAGGGTCCGTCGGATGCCACTTGAGGCAAGTAGGGTGTATACGGCTCGAGCCCGACGAACCCGACGGCGCCGTGCCACTCATACCTGCGCCCAGACTACTCACTGCGCCCATGTCCGTGTTCCGGTCGGCATCCGCGAGACACCACGGACACTGCAGATCGGCGGCGTCCTGGTTCGCGCGAGCGCCGGACTCGAAGGAGAGCGGGAGCAGGTGTTGGAAGCTCCCGACGGGTCCGTAAAGATTGGTTCCAGAGTGTGCGGTGCGTATGGTATGGTGCCGGGTATGCAGTGGTGGGACGGAACGAAGGTCATCGATTTTGCACGTGTACACAGGCAGCCAGTGCTCGGTAGCGTTCATGCGGAGATCCCAGAGGTAGACGAGATGGTCATTACTGACTGTGGCAAGCACAAATTCGTTCGTCGGATGCCACTCCGTTGCCACCACCAAGCCCTTGTGGTCAAATGAACTACAAACACTCTCTGCCGTACGTGGGTCCCACAACTGCACCTCATGCGTCTTGGATCCGGCCGCAATCAACTCACGACGGGGGTGCCATTGCACACACGACACACCGAAACCCAAACCGCGAAACATCGTCACCGCCTTCTCCGAACGCAGGTCCAACATACACGGGTGCGCCGCACGCACACCTACCACTGTCCGCTCTTCCTCCGGCGACACGCTCACCTCGTATACCGGGTCGCGCTGGTTATATATCTACCACAGACTAATCGGACCGGTAGGAGGCAGCCAGCACGCGGGGCAGTCAGCACGCGGGGCAACCAGCATGCGGGGCAACCAGCCAGCACGGGGGGGGGGNGGGGGGGA